CCATCGGATTCGAGGACAGTTAAAATAGAGCATAAGTAGAAAGTGTGGACCACTCATGTGTGTTCGAAGATGGGGCAGCCAATCCAAACAATGACCCAGGGGGCTACACTAAACTGCGCCCACAAGTAATTCTCCGCGCCTGAGGCGGATGGAGCACCACAGTATCTCACACAAACCATCGTCACTTCGATAGGTGCTCCCACGCAGCGAAGACCAGATGTAAAGCATGACACCACCGCGGGCATTCATTAGTCTATCGCATCGAAAGCACGAGTAACCGTTAAGTTCAAGTTACTGTGTATTTAACTCTGAATGCATCCATGTCTCTGCGAGCCCCACTACGTCTGGCCGCTCAGACGCCACGAAACAACAAAGCTCATCGCGCTTGTTCATAACACTACAAGCGTTCGTGAAGGCTACTCGCAGGCCGCAGCATGAGCCGCCGGGCGTCCTTGAAGTGTGAGCAGCCTGTTTATCCTGATTCCCAGATTGTTGGAAACCACCCGGAAAACTTGCGATGCGAATATTTGTTTCCCCTTCACCATTACGCCTGTTTAGCTCAACGTTGGTAGCCTTGATGTTCTCCCTGTCTACTTGGGTCCAGAACTGGACGAACATTGATCTTCAAACCTTTCAGCTTAATTAGGCGGGACATGATCAGTCTTAAACTGGCTTCGTCTACAATCGCGATTCCCATAGGCGGATTTTGTTGATCACCTTGCTTTCCAAGACGGGTAATTTGCCTCACTTTTACCGAGTCCTCACCAGCGTCAAGGAGTCTGTCAATTAGTCTCTGTAGAACTCGACATCGTGATCCTAGCGCACTTGAGTTGATGGATCACTGGACTCCGGCGCGTGGAAGATCACGTGGTTATAACGTCCCTGGTCGGACGAGGTAGACTTTGCAGGGCGAACTATATTACTAGCCTCATGTGGTTTGGCTGACTGCTGACTTACAGATGTTAAACACCCAACATCATATCGTAATTTCATTCTTTGTTCTTTCCACTGGTCTTCAGCACCCATTCACCTGCTGGGACATCAATGCCTGTCGGATACAACAAACATAAACAACGTATGTCAGGTGCAACTGGGCTTCTCACAACGGTTGGACTTCGTGCACGGGTAGAGGAAGAAGACTGAGCTGAAATCTGAAAGCTCTTCGGGCTAGGTTGTTGGGCCAAACACAGAGATGTTCGCAACGGAATGATGAAGCCTACAAGTTGGCTTTACTCTTCCCGGCTGTATGTTGTTTCGGTAATTTTTACGAAATCATGTTGGATTTCACGAGCACGATGAAAATGTTCTACTGATAATTCAACACATGAAATGTGGTATTTAATTTGGCACAAAACACACGTGAGAGCATTTGCACGGTATCCAACTAGCTGGGAACAAGTACAACTGCTTCGGCACTGTGAATAATCCGAAAACAAGAAGGCCGCCAATTGCTGTAGAAAATGGCGCTAGCAAGGTCGCCGAAAGCAAGCGATGAAAACACAAGTATTTCTGGTCAGCAAATTCGGAATCAGAAATGAAACTGCATTGTATCTAAATTTCCACGAAATACTTCCGATGAAAGAAGGAATCCAATACAAAGTGGTCTTGTCAACACAGCCAAACATAACCTACCGGAGGCTGCTATCCGTAGTCAATATAATGTAAGGTTGTACTGTTTGCACCTCATTAGGACACATCTTGAACATCTGAGCGGAATTGCTGAACCTCAGCACTTCGGTTGAGGAGGTATGGGAAAGCGAACCTAGCCGATTCTAGTGGTGTACTCCTACAAACCTACTTACGAACCATTGAACCTTTGTGCATTCTGTACCATTAACTTCTTGTATAATGCTAGAAACATAGTTAAGAATTCTTTTTGTATTTCCGCGATTTCAGCACTTTCAAATTATTAAACCTGACATTAGTTTGTATAAACCTTGACCTTTTGAGTGCAAGTACTGCTAATGCATCCTGGGTTATTGACATCTCACTACTCTACGACTAACACTGAAAAATTTCTCCTTTTTACATGAAGAGGGTAGATTACTCGTTCCAACTCAGACCGCCGCCAACTGCATTATCCCTCAATCGACTCAGCTGCCTCACACTCGGTTGCAGTAACAGACTGTACAGCAGGCTAAAGGGAAATGGAAGCCTCACTGTATGCTTCGAAATTTATTTACCGCAAGTTTCACTCTGAGAAAGGTAGTAATAAAAACAATACCTTTGAACTTTGCAACTGGGAGGGATGTATAACTGGGAGAATTTGCCATCGATGTTGAAATTAGTCATGCGAGAAATTGACCGCATCCTGAGCAATGAAGCAGACCCCACAAGTAATGCAAATCTGAACTCGTAGGATTCCGTGGAAATTCAGTACTTCTTCACTGAATTCGGCTCTTTGCCGTAAACTTTTGCACATGCATTAACGTACGAGTGATCGCAGCAAACGTAATCGCAACAGTATCCATACTTCATTTCTGACTGGGAAACCGACAGATTGTCGCAGATACTTATCAGTATGCAAATGTAAGCTGCTACTTCAGAGTTTTTGTGCGTGCATTTGATCAATATGTGATCTGCGCCTTGTTATTACTTACAACAGATTGACCCCATCAAATAAAACGTAACTCGCCAACTCGAGATTATACATGTATGGTAATTCATTTATAAAGTCCTATGTATTTCATTCCTAATAAACTGTCTTGGAAGAGTTGAATGGCATGTTGAGTTCATCTACACACTCAAACCAGTGCAGTGCAAATCTAAGGAGCCGAGTTTCGAATGGAAACACAACCAATGCACACGAGAAAAGATGGTTCGGAAAACACTACCAGTGCAAAACATTCAACCGCTGAGGTTCCTTAAAATGTACATCCCACCGTTCGAACTGCCGCTTCGAAGCTGAGTGTGGGTTATTCGGTTAAGTTTGCTAGAATACCATCACTTCACGGAATCAATCACAGATAATTTCACTTCAGTTGTTATGTCACAACTATACCGGGACTGGCATTTACGTGATTATTACAGTCCATGTCTACGTGAATACCGCCCAGTTCTACTGTTGGGGTTGAGTAGAAGAACAACAAATTGTTGTTCTATTTCACCTTGATACCGGAATTCAAAGTAGGGGGTTAACAAGACCCTCATCGTTCGGAAGTTGATGTCAGATCGTTCTTCTCGTCATCCAGATGTACATATGCGTGCTGGCACCATGTCTAGTTCACCAAGCTGATCAAGTTGAAATCGGTTGCTGATAGAAAAGGCTGTCAGTGGGCCGTTTCACGCGGAGCAATATCAGTCATTTTAAGTCGTCAACCTTCGAACCGGCCTCAAAAGACCCATCTGCTCTATTACAAAAGCCACTTTTGTTCTACTGTACTGTTTGACCTATGCTTCTTATGGGAATAAGTACTACAATGTGAAACATATTGTTTTCATTATATGCGAGGTCAGTATGCAAGAGTATAGCTAGTGGTTTTTTGCAATTCCAAGCTAATCTCCTCCTAACTGTGTATTATATTGGTTTGAATTGTTTGTTCCACAAGCCAAGAGTCTTTTCCTTACTCTTACCTGTTTGAATTGCACTCCAATAGTTTTCCGCCACTAAACAATAATACTAATTCCAAATAGGCGTGCGCTTCATCCGACTCATGCGTAGGGAGTCGAATGGGACACAAAGCAACCCGATTTGTAAACACACATTTTCTGGCGACGGACACTCCCTAACTGCATGTCAGACAACCGGCAGTTTACATAGAATCGAACCATATTGAATATGAACAGAGAGGTAACAATTTGCCTTCTTTGTACGGACGCTGAAACTATGGGTAACCCGTCAATATGGTGTCAGGTCGTTGCAGTGAAGTATCGTTGGGCGACTAGATGCACATTATTGTGCATGTTGTCAGGCGTCAGGCGTTGGTAACTACAGGGAACCGTAATTCGCAGTCTCTGAGCCTTGGGTTAGATTGTTTCCCCTCCACAGGTTTGGACTCTCCTAAAGAAAGTTAATTCCGGTGCACAATCACTTGGGGTAGAAGTGTAGTGCAGTCCCCTCACCTGTTTACTTCTGACACACAAGTTGAGCGCTTCCACACTTCGATTGCCAAGCTATGTACGTTACAATTCGATCCTGAAGGAAATGGTCAGTACGGTCATTTTGCGGTGCCGGGGTTCTAAGGGGTTATTCCAACATGAGGCGAGCAAGGGTCCAAGCACAACACAGTACGGCTGGTGCGTAGGTTTCACCACATTTGGAAGGAACGAGGGGCTCATGGGTATCGCGCAGAACAGACGCTGGTAAATGCGCGCATGCACAGGTCGCACTGGTTACAGATTAAATCTATAGGACTCGTTGCAACCCTAGTAATGGTACATGTTTCCGGTACACACGAGGACAAATGACCAGAAACAGGTGAATCGATGGTCTATTTCATTGTCCGTTCTTTCACCTGTGTTGAATATACCCATAGTGGGGACAGCTGATGGAAAGGAGATTAGAGCTTTGCTCTGTTGGTGTGTCTCATGCAAGTAGGTAGACGAAGTTATGCGCAAGCAAATTGGCCAAAGGCGAAGCTACCATCTTAATCGTAACGGTGAAATCTTGAGCGGAAGCGATTAGGGTGGTTGTGTTTTCACGTGGGCAAACTGAAGCTTAAAGGGTTGCCAGGCGTTTGAGTATTCGACCATCACATACCGATTGCCTAGGTGGTAGGTGATTTTTCCATCCATCATTATACAGTATGTCAATGTGACCCTTGTCTATCTTATATTGACCTAAATCCATTCGTCATAACGTTTACACTTCATTTACCTAAATATATACTACCAATCTGGTATAAATTGCTTGTCTGCTGAATCTGATACATCGCATTTGTTCTCCCTGATTCAAAATACTTGACTATCCTCGTTGGAAAGAAGGATCCCAGACCATTTTGCTCATAGTGCGATGCTGTCGTCTATTTGTTGATTCGGAGAAATATCTTCCCCTGACTCACCCCACTGGTCCAGTTGGCTGGGATAGCTTTCGTCTGATCAATGTCGCTCAGCAAGCGGGGAATCCAACCGTAATAGATGCCATTTTTCAGGTCTGCTTGTCCCAAACTGTACCACACACAAGCCAGCCAATGCGCTAGCAACACAAACCCAGAAATCATCAGCAATAAACTGGCTGCCATGTACTCCAGGTATTGATCCAATTTCCGAGTCACGCGACCAATTCGTAATAAGCGAACCACTTTGAGGGTTCCGAAAAGGGAACTGATGGTGCTCTAAAGTTAAATATAAAAAGAAGTAATAGGTGAAGATTAGTATGGACCGCAAGTTTCTTCTACAGTACCATAAAGCAGAAGCACGTGAGAGCATATCCCAAAATGGATTGCTAAGCTATCGACACAGCAAGCAGTCGTACAAAACTTGGTAACTAAGTTTCCGGCATCTTCTATGGCCAGACATCTAAGTGCAACAGGTCATCAGGTTGACTCTGGGTTAACATTTACAGTTTTCTATTGACATGAAAGGCCCAAAGTTTTGAGGTTTCTCGATGTGGTGCTTAACCACATCGCCCTATGCTTTGCGTAAAGAAAAAAGTAACACTCTCCCAAAATCATTATTGGGGCTCAAGACCATAAAGTGAAGCTCACTGATTTGTTGTTTTTGCGTCTACGTAATTTCCTTTTGTGACGAGTATCAAACATTAGATTTGTTCTGTCCCGTGCTTCCTGTTCACGTAGTTAGTTTGCGCGTGATCAGGTAACACAATCTTGCAGTACCACACTTCTAATTGGCTTATGTAGATTGATATATGGAACCCAAGGTTTTAAATACACGTGAATCAGAGAACTCTGTCACGTGGTTGATTGATGAAAAGAATGGTCTACAAGAAGCTACATGGTTTGCAAATCGTTCCAAGCCCCAGGAATTTGTATGATATTCGAGTTGTAAAATTTGTAGACATTGGTCTCGGGACCGAAGTAAGCCAGGTCAAGTCAAGAATGTGCCGTCGCCATCCACGACAGGTGAATATACAGCTGTACATTGACCTGTTGGCTCCAAAAATAAGGTGGTGAATATGGTTAGAATTAGTAGTGGCTGTACATCTTCATGCCTAGCACTGAGTAAACTATTGTCGTATTCTTCGTGTTTTCTTATGGCTCGACGATTACCTTGCTTCGCCTCATTTTGCGCTTAGCACAAAAGTTGAAGCACCAGATTCCATGCGAATGTCCGTGACAGTAGACCTCAGCAAATATTAGACAAATATGTATACTAGCTCCGTTGAATGTCGACCACTACATCGATTAGATCAATCGAGCTGAAAACTAAATGAATCCTCATTCATACTTAATACCTTCAGAATGGTTTAGTATAATCTAGACCACAGACTCTAGGACCAAGTAACCATATACCTTCCTTTTGGTGTGACTTTGGGAGCCGAGAGGACCTAGTTTGCACGACGAAAACAGTTGATGAAATATTGCTACTGGAAGTGACATTTTTTGGTATTGTTGGACGCGGGTCAAGCTGTAGAGAGGAAAAATAGTGTCTACCTTTGACTTGGACTAAGCTACCTACTTTAGCTGATCTAAAATCCACTAGATTTGTATAATTACGGAGTCGGTTGCTAGACGGTATTTACCTGTAATGGCTAGGGAAACATCAATTATAAGAGTATTAGAAGGTAAAAACTCAAAATGCATTTTAGAGGATGTTGGACAAAAGAAACCCAAGGGGATTTTGTAACAACGTCAACCAACAGATCCAAAATCGGTGCCTTTGAAAGATCCAATTATGACAGATAAAGCAAGCGAACCTGTGTACAAAATCAATGGCAATGAATATACATAGGTATGCATTGATCAAACAATGTGAAATCTATATATCGTGAGTTCGGAATAAAAGACACGTTTCACATAGCCGAGAAAGTATTTTGAGAAATTCTATTTCAGCCTGGGGCTGCTGTGGGCATGAGGGTGGAATTTCCGTCATTCACCTTGGAGTTCACGCTTACTTGGTCACAAACATAGTTTAGTATGCATTTGCATTTAAGTTATACGTAGTTAATGGTATTGAGGAGAAAATACGAAATACATGCATCTTTGTAGAAAGTAGAAGCATCTGTCAGTTTTCGTCTTCTTATCGCACTTTTCAAATTTACATGCCTTTGGTGACAGATTTAACCGTACAGGCACAAGCGCTAAATGCAAGACACGAAATTAACTTGGGTAATTTCGTAGACAAGTTGAAATGCGAGTGACAGTTTAACTGTCTAATACATACACTAATACTTGCTTTATTCTGTTCTCTATTAGTTATATAAATGTGCTGTATTTAGCCTGATGATAAAATCGCCGAAAAAGCGCTTTGAATGAGTTACCAGGAAATTATTTACCATATGCAATATCGAGATCTTTAGGAGGGCTTATCCCGTAGCGCTACAGGAGGGGGTTGCCGGGAAGATGAAAGTCGCCAAAATTGGTAGCTGTTTGAATCGAATGGAGAAAGTAGAGCCCTCAAATGATTAGCGAGCAGTTTCATCGAGCAGTCTAGCCAGTGTCATGATGAAAGTTCTGTTGAATAGCAAGGATCAACTACCTCCTCATCTACACCTCGGTCTTACCTGTCAACGCTGTGACTGCATTACTAAGGGTGACATCTCGACTTGTGTATGTAATAGCGCCATGAAATTGGCATTGCGAGTAGTCCCAGCGTTCTCTATTAAACGTCACATCAGCTACCTACTGATCCATCTGAGCTGGTGAGGCTTTTGTGACAAAATCGAAGTGTTGCCAAGTACACACTCCAACCGAATGTCTCCAATCGCCTTCGCAATCACAACATTTGTTGTAGACTCATCACCTCTAGGTTTGTATCATTTATGTAACCGCTAAGTGGTTTTCTTGAATGGTAGGCATTTATGTTCCTCATAAGTGTATTAGTCCGACGGTAGTCGTTCACCAGCGATGTAGTTCTATGACAACACAGTATAATCACCTGCAGCTGACACCCAGAAGTGCCAACGATAAGGTGCAACCGTGCCTGTGATATATTCCTGGGTCTACATAAAGAGTGGACCCGGAAGTGGGTGACAGTGCATTCTGCAGGCTGATTGTCTGCGTCTTATGAGTCAACGTAAAGACGCCAGTTCGAGAATCACAACCATTTCTTCAGACTTCAATTCTATTACGAAAAATAGTATCCACTTAACCGACCACGTCGACCGTATAGGTCAGCCGTGTGATGATAGCTGGTGCCACAAACATCTTGGCTAACTGGTCATCAGGTGTTAGCGTGGAAAATTTGTCTTCGGTAAGAAGATACTAGCTTAAGTGGTGAAAGTGAGGCGAACATCCTCATTCATTGACAATTCCCCAGAGCGGCCATCACTGCAACAAGCTCATCGTCGATCAGCAGTAATTCTCATACAGTTGCATATTTACCAGTTAACTACACTAATGGCACGGAGAAATTCATGCAGGATTATTTGAGTTACTCAGGAAACAACCGAACCACAATCACGTAGGTAGTCTAGGACAAAGTACCTAATTTCTTGATTGAACCTCTCATTTTCAGATTTTTTAAATAGCATCAATGCACTGCAACAATTATACCTAATAAAACTTTAATTGCCTGCTAACACTTTCGGCTGCATTGTGCGTGACCAAACGTCGTTCGTTTATTCCGCGTATTAGCCAGGGGGAGAAGCACTCACATTTTGTGTTGAAATACTATTCCAATAGGTGGCACTAAACAGAGGAAGAAAGAAGGAACACAACCACAACGACGACAAAAGTAAAACAAAAACATTCTTGTGCTCTGTCCGGTGTTAAGTACTGACGACGAGGTGGTGATTGAAAGGAGAGGCTAACAGGGATAGGGAAGAAGAAAGAAAACTACTACACAGACGCCACTAAGATCGGCTCCTGGCCATGTCAACAAATATGTCTAACCAGAAGTGTACCTCGTCTTTAGGACTCTGAACTGCTAGACAGAAGGTTCCGACCGAGGTCAAATTTGTGGTCAGATTCCTCACTCACCTTGACCAATTCATCGGTTGATTGCTACTCCTCTTCTTCCTTCCATACCCTGGTAGTGCAAACTGGTAGTGCGGGAGTCGGTATTCTGGCCTGCGTAACTGGTATCCCAGCCACCGAAGTCTGTTACGTGAAGGCATGGCACTGAGCAGTTCACTACTTCTGCCTGCACCAAATACCAGACGTCGAACACACTCAGTGCTCACGCGGAGTTCCCACCAGACATCAACCAAATTGCGAAGTCATCGGTGGTTGAACGTAACCAACCTCTTTAAGTCTGCTGATTTGATGGGCCAGTTTTCAAAACGGTACTGGAGGATTGGATGGACGGCTGCATTGTAGACTCTACCCTTCAGGGTGACACTGATGTCGCGCCAGTACCATAGTTGCGAAGATTAACCTAAGCACCTAGAGACTTTGCTGTAGGTTTCATGATCTCATCTCCGATACCTCAGCTTCTTAGATAGTGGCAATTCTGAACTAATTTTAGTTGCCCCCTCCCCACCAACAGACAGCGCAGTTTTGGGTTCATGCCTATCTCGCAGCAGGGCTTTGCGCTTGGAGAGTGGAATGTACAGACTAAAACGGCTGGCAGTCATGCATGGCATGATTTTGAGATGTCACAGATTAAGGCAATATCGTCGGTATATCCTAAACCAGGTATCCGATAAGCTGCAAGCAGCTGCCCACCTTTTACGTAGTACTCAGTGGACACAGCCTACATGACTCCGTCAAAAGCGAAGATGCTAGGGTTTATCATAAACTCTTATTCTGTTCTAGCTATCCGCGTGAAACTCTGAGATGTTGATTACTTATACCCCGGGAACATTTTGCTGGTCAAACAGTCTCAAAACGCACATAGGTTCAGCAAATCAAAGCCACTGAAGATGTTTAAGACAACAACTACAGTGGATTGTCAAGTTGTGTGACAATGCCTCAGCAGTTGCTCTGGAATGAAGATATGGTAAATGTACGCAGTCTCTATTTCGACGAGGCCCGGCTTGCTCCTCATGAGTTTGGCTTTTACTGTAGTCAGCCGGTCTATGAACAACAACAAAGGTAATTTGAAGGCGCTAGGGATAAGACTGATCCTTCTATGCTTGTTACATTCTGGGTATAAGTCTCCCTTGAAAAGGGGGACAATAACCGGGATGTTCCAATAGTTCAGGAAAGTTCCCACCCATTGTTTTACGAATTAATTGTGCAAATTGTCATGATGAGCAAGCACATGAATTTGA